CTCAAATCTAGTACTTCTTTTTAACCTGATATGAGAAGATAAGAAAGATACGCTCTCAAATTAATTGCTCTTTATTATTTGAGCTTTAGAAAACTTTATCTTTTCCTTATAAAACAGAAAATAAGACCTATTTAGAGAAGAGAAAGATTGAAGTAAAATAAGAAGAGTTATATATAAATATTCCTAATATTTTAGGGAGTTGATAAGAATATTTTTAATTTCTAGATTTGCCACAGCAAAGGAAACATGACTGACTCTTTCAAAGTCAGAAGCAATGGGGAGCAAAAGGGTACTGGCGAGGGAATTCCCAAAATCAGCTGGCCGCGCTGCCAACTGGTCTGGTACTTTGAAGTCTTAAGGCCAGCCCTGTGCCTCCTTCCCTGTGGTGTGCATGTAGTTGTTCTTTGTTAGGTATTTTACCCTCTGCTCCTCTTTTTCTTTTATCTGATACTTACAGTGAGGAGTTTTTTAATGGAGGGGGAAGGATCACTTTATTTTGTTTTTTAAAATTGTTGTTTGGCTTTGTGCCTATTAGCCCCATATCTTAAGTTAAAACTCCCTTTTCAGCCTTGTCTTGCAGCTGTGATATGTAGAGACAAGGACACATCAGCAAACAAAAATTTTCTTCCTTGATTTTTTTTTTTTTTTTTTGGTGGTTGGCAATGTGGCAGTATTTTACAAAATATCCATTTACCCAGTTGGGTCATTTTGGTAGGTGTTTTAATAATGGAATGGCCTAAATGATAATGCTAGCCTAAGAAAGCTTCTTCTGTAGCTAGACTGATCAGGTACTGCTCTGTCTTTGTCATTTCCTTGAAGTGTGGTCTTGGGCAGGTTCCTTAACTTCTCTAGGCCTCAATTTTCTTAAAAATGTGAGCAGTAATAGTACTTACCCAGTACTTAGTTAGCTCTCCATTTTACTATTATAATTGTCCAAAGAAAAATGCTTCTCTTCATTTTTCTTAACAATAACAACCACCACCATCACCGTCACCATCATTATCAATGCTAGTAATAATAATAACAGCAGCTACTATTATATCAACTGCCAACAACACCAATGGTGCCTACCATTGTGATACATGCTTCACATATAAATTTAAATTAATTTTTGAAAAATATGCATTCTGAAATCTGATTTGATGCTTTAATTGTAAAAAGTCTTTGAGAGTAAAAGAAGATTTAATCACTGAGAATATTTTTCTCCCTCTCTGTTATGTACTCAATAATTACTGTATAAGGACAATATTAATAATAGAGTAATTATTAACTGTGAAACTTTTAACCAAAAAGAAATAAAAACATTACAGATCAAGGAGTACGCTCCCTGAAAGTGCATTGCTTATCCTTTCAGTTTTCAAGAGAAGAAGGAGAATTGAGGAGAGGCTATGGAAGCATTAGCAGGTGCCTCTTTCCCAAACTACACATTTTTTTCATTTCTGCGGTCCTCCTTCCTAAAACCACCAGACATAGAAGCTGCCTGTTTACCCCCACCCTCCTTCCTTAATCATTCTTTCTGTGGAAAAAGGGAAAAGGCTAGAGCAGAAAGGCCCCAAACCATAATGTCATGGCGGTTTGTAGTTGATCACATCTATATTTTGAGCAATTAATTAGTAACTCAGAGCCCATATTGTTTACTATTCTTTTCTTAGACACTTCCTCAATATCACTGTCTATTACTATCTCAGTATCAGTGTCTGTTAGTATCTCAGAGGTCTGTAGTGCTGTAACAAAATATTTAATAGAGTTTGTCCTTTTGTAATTTTACAATAAAAAAATAGGGAAAAGCAATGTAATGCAGCCTCATAGACTTGATGTCAGCCAGATACATAAAATATCTAAGTATATAAGGAGTATCACATATTGGCTTTCTTGTTACCATTTGATGTAATGACTAATTCTGAAAAAGTATTTTTCCATCTTCTGCCTGAAGTCAGATTTATTTACATTGACTTTGATCATTTGTTATGCCATCTCTTTGATATTCAGAAGAAAGGAAGGCTGATAGTCTAGGTGGATCATGCCAGCAATTTCAGTGACCCTAAATATTATGACATGTGATATTAAGCATATATTACACAGGCTTCTCTGAACCACACCCTTCTGTGGCTAGCATTGGACAATTAAGGGCAGGACTCCACAGTTATGCTAAAGGAGTGTGGGGTCAGTTCTGTAATTCTTTACATTATTGTTATCATTTTTAAATGCCCAGGTATGTTTTTATTTGGAATAGAGTCAGCTGCTTCCTCTTACTCTACCAAGGCCAAGCAGGGAATGCATACTTCCCCTTGTCTTTATCCGAGTATTGCTAATGCTCCCGTAGGATTATGTCTTCTGTGATGAGGAAATGCCATTGCTCATTTTTATGTTGATTTAATATTTTTATTCAGCATAGTATTTATTGCCTTGTATGTAGGTATCTGTCTTTATGCTCCTTAAACTTTAAAGGGAGAAGATTGAGATTATGCAGTCTTCCATGTATAATTTGGCACTTCTTTATTAAACCAAAAAGATCTCTTGGAGAATGTAGATTTTCAAGATTTTCCATGATGAAAGGAAGATAACTTGTTGGAGTGGTATTAGATTAAGAAGAGGCAAGATTTCCAGTCATTTGGTGCTCTGGAGAAAGGCTAAAGGTCCACCTTTGAAGTTATTCCATTGTTCCCGGATAAGAAATCCCATTATTAACTCTACTGCTAGTTCCCGGTGGTTTTCTCCCTTTAGCAAAGAAGAAAGGTGAAATGACTGTTGGATTTTGACTTAGATGCACTAACTAATGACACAGCATATTTATCTTCCAACCTCTACCCTGCTTTGATCATGTATGGTGCTGTTAAAAAATAAATTGCTTTTGGGCTTTAAAATTTTTTAATGTTTACCGTTGTACTGGAGGGGAGTCTTAGTTGTTGGCCAAAACTTGCTGTTTCAGGAAAACTTCATTTGACAGACTGTTGATTTTCTTCCATTTCAACTTTTAATTGGATGTCATATATATATACTCAACTTCTAATTGGGTATGATACATTTGGGGTATATAATTTTTGTAAGAAAGAAATGCAGTAATTTAAATCCAAAGCATTTAGGTTTTTATTACTTATTATGCAAAAGGATGCCAAAATAGGATCCCAGCTTTTCCTCCAAATCATAGAAATCTCTAATAAAATTTTGACAAACCAAGTCACTCTTAAGGAAATCACTATATACTTCTTACTGCTACCAGGAATCATGTAAGAAGCTTCCTTTGCTATATACAAGTAGCTCAGAGGCACCAAAATCTCCTATGGAGTCTGAGAAACTTGAGAGTAGGATGTGAATGTGCTATGCCTGGCCCCTTCTCTGCCCACGAGTCGAGTCGGCAGGCAGGACCATGGCCCCCTTCGTGAGGAGCCAGGTGCATACTCAGGGTCCTTCTCAGCCATTCCTCCTGGACTCCCTCCAGGGAGTCTGGTCGGAGTTGCCATTCCAGATGAAATGCAGTATCTATCCCTGTCTTTGATAGGAGAAGGGGAGCTAAGATAGTCTCAAAATTACCTGTCTTGAAATGAGATTTACCAAAGTTGAGCCTACACAGTAGGAGTTCAGGCTGTGTCATCATTTGGCTAGATACTAAGTTCTGAGCTCCATCCTTTACAGCTAAGTGATAGTGGGCAAGTCACTTAGCTTCTTCAAGCTTCAGTTCTTTGTTTTGTTTTTTAATCGGTGAAATGGAAAGAAGTCATACCTATTTCAGAATACTGAGGATTAAATGAGATAACCTTTATAAAGTCCTTAGCATACTGTCTAGTCCAACAATTCTGTACCTATTAGTCTCAGAACCCTTTCATATACTCTTAAAAATTATTGAGGACCCCATAGAGTTTTTGTTTATGTAGGCTATATTTATTAAAAATTAAAACTGAGAAACTTTCAAAATATTTATTACTTTTTAAAATTAATAATAATAAACCTACTATATATTAACATAAATAACATATTTTATGAAAAATAACTATATTTTCCAAAGAAAAGTTAGTGAGAAGTGTAGCCTATCTGCTTCTGCAATCTGTTGTAATATCACACATCACATAGATTCTGGAAAATTCCACTTCACACATATGAGAGAATGAGAGTGAAAAAGGCAAATAATATTCTAGTAATCATTTGAAAATAGTTTTGATTTCATGGACTGCCAAATGGATCTTGGGGCCCCTGGACAATACTTTGAGAATCATTGATCTAGTTAATAGTTAGCACCCAATAAATTGTAGTTATTATTGTTATACATAGAAGTTTTTGTAACTGGCAAGTACTATATATTAATAAGTACTATTGACGAGAAGTAAAGGTCATGGCTTCAAAACTTTTTACTATATACTTTCCTGAAAGGTCCCAAATAAGATTGTACTTTAGATGAGGCAAAAGAAACAACAATGTTTTTCAAATAAATACTAATAATACATAAATGAGTTACTTGAGTTTAAGAAGATTCAAATCCTTTCAGGAATTTGTTGATTAAATATATTATCATAAAGGTTTCATTTTTTTCCAGAGGAGAGCCTTTGTTTTTCCTCGAGAATAATACATGTTAGTAAAGAGAGAAGTAATTAGATGTTTACTCTGAAACCAGTGATAGAGTTGGTATGGGGTTATGGTTGCCCACCAATTTTAAGGAGGTAGCATGGCCCCATTTTTAACCAGGCTAGGCTTCACAATTGACAGGTCAATCTTAATTTACTGGCTCTTGGAGAACCTCAACTTAAAGCCTTTATTACTATTTGATTCTTAGATACAAGATCTTTAAAGGGTCTTTTTGAGATGGATTTGGACTGTAAAGACAAAAAGCACAAGTGATATGATAACAACTTACACAAGTTGTCTTAAGACATATGGGTATATAGTTCACATCTTCACATATATGGATATAGTTTATATTAGCTCTACGTGTACTTTGAGACATACAACCTCTAATTATATCAATTTTCTCCTTTCTTCTTCTTTTTCTTTGGGGTGGGTGGGTATAGACCATGGGGAATTCATATGCTGGGCAACTGAAATCTGCTCGATTTGAGGAAGCTCTCCACAACTCCATAGAAGCCTCTCTCAGATGTAGTAGTGTGGTACCACGGCCCATTTTTTCCCAGCTGTACTTGGACCCTGATCAGCATCCCTTCTCATCTGCAGGTAAGGTTCTCAATCACACACATGTCTAGACTCCTTTTAAAAAATTATTATTATTTTGCAGAGGGTGGTGGGGACAGGGGAATAGACTCCTTTTAAAAGAAGTGGGAGGTTGGGGAGGGAGGATCGCTTGAAGCCAGGAGTTCAAGACCAGCCTGAGCAACATAGCAAGACCCTATCTCTACAAAACACAAAAAAATTAGGCAGGTGTGGTGATGTGTGTCTGTAGCCCCAGCTACTTGGGAGGCTGAAGCAGGAGGATTGCTTGAGCCCAGGAGTTTGAGGTTGCTGTGAGCTATGATGACACCACTGCACTCCAGCCTGGCAACAGGGGGAGACTTTGTCTCAATATCAATAAATAAATAAAATAAAATATCAAATAAGTGGGGATTCCAAATCTTAAAACCTCTGAAATAAATTGGCTAAATGATAGAAAGTGCTAGTCTTCCTTTCCACAAATATGTTTTTCAGAACTATGAATTTGTCCATAAGCATCATTTTAGTAAATTTGCTATGATTTATTTGCTTATCCAGATGTCAAACCCAAGGTGGAGGATTTGGATAAAGATTTAGTGCACCGGTACACTCAAAATGGAAGTCTGGATTTTTCTAACAGTCTGACAGTTACTGAAATGGAAGATGATGAAGATGATGAAGAAATGTCTGATTCAAACAGCCCACCAATTCCCTATTCACAAAAACCTGCCCCAGAAGGATCTTGCACTACAGATGGTGGGTTTCAGTTTTGCTTCCCTTTTGCTATTTTCTCTCTAATATTTCTGGCCTATTTCCAATCATTACATGTGACACTGAAAGCTGGAAACCAGTAATTATGGAAAGGAATGAGGAATGATTATGGTCTTGTGTTATCTCCTGTGACTTCACAGCAGGTGTCTTTAAGAAAGACAAGTCTTATCATCCCGTCTTAGAGATGAAGAGACTGAGATTCACAGTTGAATAACTTCTCTAAGATGGTCTGTGGCAAAGGCAAGTCTAAACTCAGGTCAAGGCTTTTCCAGTATTCCTTGTACTTCCTGCTACTATTTTAGGAACTTTTTTAGTGTTCCCTCTTCTTAACTTTCTATTCTACTTCCCACAAACAGAAACATCTTCTTAACTTTCTATTCTACTTCCCACAAACAGAAACATCATATCAGATGTTTCATATTTACATTTTACATTTATTTTGAACACTCATCCAGTATAGAGGATAAAAATGTAATATTAGACTGGGCGCAGTGGCTCACGCCTGTAATCCTAGCACTCTGGGAGGCCGAGGCGGGCAGATTGCTTGAGGTCAGGAGTTCGAAACCAGCCTGAGCAAGAGTGAGACCCCATCTCTACTATAAATAGAAAGAAATTAATTGGCTAACTAATATATATAGAAAAAATTAGCAGCCGGGCATGGTGGCGCATGCCTGTAGTCCCAACTACTTGGGAGGCTGAGGCAGTAGGATTGCTCGAGCCCAGGAATTTGAGGTTGCTGTGAGCTAGGCTGATGCCATGGCACTCTAGCTCGGGCAACAGAGTGAGACTCTGTCTCAGAAAAAAAAAATTAATATTATTAAATGTAATATATAATTATTAAACATAATATGTAAATTATTAAATGCAATATTTTGTAAATATTATAAATGTAAAAATTTACCTATAGAGTATAAAAACGTAAATATTTTGATTATCCCATTTTATTTGTGAGTGTGACACTCTTCCACCAAGGCTTTAACCACACTTTTAATAAGAAAATCTTAGTATAAAGCGTTTTCAGTATTTCATGGTTTTGGCAATATCATAGCTTAAATTACACTCTCTTTCCTCCATTTAGTTGTTTACCATGTTATTTCCTGACCATCCCAGCCTGATTAGTTTATAATACTTTATCCAGATTAGACAGAGTACAATTTTTATACCTAGACTGACTTGAACCTGGGATGATTTCAGTGCATGAAAATCTTGTGGGAGTCGGGGTGGGAGAGGGGAAGAAAAATAATAAAATCTCAGGACATTCCCCTTACAAAGCTTGAAGTGCAAATAATTGGAATAAACTAGAAATTCAAATATGGAAATTCATCAGATAGCACTATTTGGGAGTTTTATTTTCTCTTGACTTTTTCCTTTTTGTTTCTTTTTTTGCCAATCAGATAAACAGTAAGGAGTAAAAATCCCCTACTTAGGAGATGAGGAGTCCTGAATAATTCTCTTAGTGGCCTGTGTGCCTGCTTCACTACAGGTGGCCTCTAGCAATTATTACCACTGCTCTGAGTGAGGCCTGGCTCTAGCACATCATTTGTATTTGCTTCCACTTATGATTGTTTGTGGGTTTTTTTGCCCAGACTTAATATATGGTGATTTATTCATTATAGATGTAATACAGGCCTTTAAACTTGTGGAAGTATGGAAATTGACTAGCATAATGCTGCCTCTTACTTGCTTTATATCCATCCTCATGCCTTTTATTTAGTTCAGCAGTCAACTCATTTATCAATTAACAAAGTAAACGTTGAAATCATGTTTAAAATATTGTTGGATGCTCAAAGCTACAGCCGACGAAATAAAAAAAAAAAAAAATATTGTTGGATTCCCATTGAGAATCTTGTTATATGTGAGAGTTACATAGAACCAGAGTAGAAGCTTTAGAGGACATTTTGAAATATCACATTTGATACCAAAAAATGAGGAGAATTCCCGTGTTTTTCCTGTGCTCTAGGGTGTGTTTTTAGTTTGCCTTGTGGGGAACCCAGCACTGGTGTATTAAATATGGGGAGCTGTTTAGTACCCACAAAGATATAAACTCAGTGATCTAGAGCTAGCCAGTATTTCTCAAACTTTAAAACACAAGAATATGAGAAGTACATGGGAAGGGTAATAGTCATTTTAAAGATAAAGGAGGTAACATTTTTCTGAGAACTATCTCACCCACATTTAAGATTCAAATTCCAAGACAACCTCAAACACTAGTCCTCCATTTTGATTTTTACATCAGTTACTTTAGACTCTTATAGTTAATGTCCATTATTCATTTTCCCGTTTTAATTCACCTGGGGGTGGGCATTTAAAACAAAAAGTTTATAATTTGGTAGTGTATAGTTTACACATAGCCCTTTCAATTTGTCTCATTCTAAGATAATTCTAAGAGTTCCCTTATTCAAAGAGAGAACAGCCCTACAGTTTTCCTTAAAAATATGGCGGTGAAATAGGGCAGTATGCTGCCTGGGCTTGTTTCAGCATACCACCTTCCCTTCATGGGAAATCTTTTATTTACCTAAGGCTTAAAGGAAGGTAAAGCTATTTTTAGAGGCAATTTAGATAAGCAGATACTTAACACCTGGTGGGCTGCTGGGGGTTACCATTTAGATGTAGATTTTGGTTGCTAATTTCTTATGTAAATTATTGGAATAGTGTAGGTTCCTACCCTGCTGGGAGGCAGTTGATTGTCTAAAGGGGTAAAGGGCAACCAAATTTTAGGCCTCCCAATACTGCTTTGATTACTTTAGTTTGTGTTTACAGCTGTTTCAGTAAACTTCCCCTCCCCCTTTTAGCTTACTCTGTAACCTTCAAGTTGGAGATAATTGGAGAATGCAAATCTGTTTCTGTGAAGTGAAAACCTTGGCTATTTTCTTAGGGAAATGCAGATGAACTTTATAAAGAAGGGCCTTCTTCCATCATACCTTTGTTTAAAAAATTAAAATCATTTGCTCTGTAGGAGCCTTGGTTTTAGGGCGACATTTCCATATTACTCTCAGAAAATGAAATTATTTCAGGAGGCAAGTTTGTCAAATGAATTATTTGTATGCCCATGTCAATAACTTACTTCTCTTTCCTTGTGTACAGTAAACAGGCTTAGATCCTTCCTTAGAGTACTCTTAACCTGATCTTCCAGTAGTAGCCTCTAACAGAAAGTTTACATCAGTCTTTCAGAATTATTTTAGATGTAATTCAGAATTACCCTCCAGAAGTACTGAGGTTTCTTTTCATTTAGTCTGAGGTTTTAATTGAATTTTAATATTTGATCTTTATTAGATTAATAATTTGATATATTTCTGATAGTGGGAAAAAGAGCTACCTGCCACATCATATATTTGGATACTATAGATCTTGAAATACAATCACATTTCATAGATCGTGTAGCTATCCACTCTTTGTTACAGACGCACACAGCTAATTTTCTATCTTAAAAAAATTAAATATTGCTCTTTGCATAATTTTTCTTTCTTGGGGCTCCCTGATGATATATTTTGTGTATAATTAGGTGATCTGAATCCCAACAATGAGTATTTGGAGGAAACAGTCAGAAAAGAGATATTTACTTTACAACAAAAGGCCAGACCCTTGGCCTTTTGAACTTATTTTCAGAATAACTACAAATTGAATCTAGGAACTTTTCCTTGACTTTGGAACCATTGTTGACCTTGAATTGATTTCTTCCTAACAACGTTAGACTCAGCTCTGCCTTCCCTTTCTCTCCTATTCTCTCTTCTCAATTAAATTGCTTGTGTGGTTTGTGTTGGCAAGTAACTAGAAGGTAACAAGATAAAATATGACTATTTTATTTTATAAAATAGACTTTATTTTTTAAGAACAGCTTTAAATTTATGGAAAAATTGAAAAAATAGTATGGTTTCCATATATCCTTGCACAGATTTACCTATTACTAACATCTTAGTATAGTACATTTGTTGTAATTAATGAGTCAATATTGATACATTTTTATTAATTTTAACAATTGAAGTCCATAGTTTGAATTCCTTAGTTTTTACTTAATGTCTTTTTTTCTGTTCTAGGATCCCATCCAGGATATAACATTAGATTTAATTGATAAGTCTCCTTAGGCTCCTCTTAACTGTGACAGTTTCTCAGACTTTCCTTGTTTTTGATGACCCTGACAGTTTTAGGAGTATTGCTCAGGTATATTGTAGGAAACCCCTAGTGGAATTTGTCTGATGTTTTTCTCTTGATTAGCCTGGGGCTGTGGGATTTGGGGAGGAAGATCACAGAGGTTAAGTGCCATTTTCATCATATTATATCAGGGGTACATACTATCAACATGATTTATGACTGTTGATGTTGACCTTGGTCACCTAGCTGAGGCAGTGTTATCTCCTCTCCTCCCCCTCCCCATCCTGTGGAAGGAATGCCAGCTCACACCTAAGGAGTGGGGAGTCAGCTCCACATCCTTGAGGGCAGAACATCTATGTACATTATTCAATATTTTATTTATTTATTTATTTGTTTTTTAAAGAGAGGAGGGAGTCTCACTCTGTCTCCCAAGCTGGAGTGCAGTAGTCACATCATAGCTCACTGCAGCCTCCAACTCCTTCCTGGGCTCAAGCAATCCATTCCCATCCGCCTCCCAAAGTGCTGGGACTGCAGGTGTGAGCTACCAGCCCTGACTTCATAAATTATTTGAAATTCTACTACACGGGAATTTTCCTCTTTTCCCACATGCATTGATTTATTCAGTCATTTATTGATATCATTATGGACATAAAATAAATATGGATATTTATAATCTAATACTAATTTATTTATTGTTGCTCAAATTGTTCCAGTTTTGGACATTGGGAGTTCTCTCAGTGGGTTCTTTTGCCAGTTTTATAAACACTCATCATTGCAGGGGTTTTTTTTGTTGTTGTTGTTTTAGCATAAAATAGTACATTTTTTTCTTTTCATTGTCACAGGTACCTCTTGAAATACATTTTTAAGAGGAGGCTAGAAAACATGCTTCTCCTGGA